AGAGAGTAATATATTTTGATTACAGCTTACAAAGGTTACAAACTAGATTTCAAAAAATTTCCTTGTTTAACGCAAAGGCGCCATTTTGACTTGCCGCTGGAATAATTATACAACAAAGACTGTACTCCTTGGTTTAACGGAACATACCCGTTCCGTGTGGGCCAATTTATTCATTATTTATTTGATATAACGGTTTAATAATAACTTATCATTGCACTGCATTAATGCAGTAGTTGTAATAAATAGTTTATTGTTATCATAACTTATTATTGTATATTTGTGTATTTAATAATGATTTTTCTTAAAAACATTTGATTAAAAATGTCAAAATAACAAATTAACCGTGAGTTTTAAAACTGTCAAAATTTAAGAATGTTAAAATAACAAATTAACCGTGAGAGAATGAGTTTTGCATATTTAATTAGAAACTACTGGCTCATCATTTAGAAAGATTTCTGAACTAGGTAAAGTCAATCGGTTAACTGTTTCTTGGGTTCTCATACGTTAAAAGGAATCTTTATCCATCAATCGCAAACCAGGAAGAACGAAGAATAAAAAGTTGGTTTCGGAAACTCGTTGTTTATACTTGCAAAATCCTGAACTATATGACTATGAAAGAGCAAATGGATACATCTTTTCCTTTTGTGCAAAAAGTCAAAAAATTTCACAGTATTCACTCTTATCGCAAGACAAAATATCTAAACTGAACCAAAAAGCTAAAATGCAAGCCAGAAATTTTTACGACAACATTCTGACAAAGTTCAAAGGCTGCCTAATTCTTGATAATGAAACTTATGTCAAACTAGACTCTAGACACCTGGTCACACAGACCTGGTCACAGATTTCATGATGGTCATAGATTTTATACTGGTATTAAGTGTGGAGCTGTCAGCGATATATATAAATATACGAAGGTGGAAAAGTTTTTCAGAAAATGTATGATTTGGTAAGTAATTTGAAGCTGTTGCAAAATATGCAAGCTATTTGTAACCTCTAAATTGATGAATGCCGAACTTTTTAAGAACGAGTGCCTGGAAATGCATCTTTTAACTTTTATAAAACCTCATTATGTTCCAGTAAAGATTTGGCTTGATTTAGCAAGCTGTCATTATGCTAAAGAAACAATAAGTTGGCACGGGAAAAATGGCATTGAAATTATACCTAAAGATTACAACCCACTAAATTATCCAAAAATATAAATGCTATAGAAAAATTTTGGGCTCTTTGTTAGTTTTAGTTAAAATATAGATTAATGGGTACTCTATATGTAAAAATAACTTAATTTAATATTTATATTTTTTGTTAATTAAACGGTCTTAATGTTGAGTTAAATTTTTCGTGACTATATTTTTTTACTATGTCTATCTGTTAATTAATTTATGCCTTTAAGAATTGCTAAATGCATTTTTACGCTGCTATTTTCATTAAACCTGATCCCCTGCAGTGAATTTTTATTTAACTTAAGGGTCTGCGAGAGAAAACATTTTTTTGTTTTGTTTATTAGTGACGTTTAGCGTTGCGCAATTAATGGACGATCCCTAATTTGAGTTTTAGTTTAGTTAAAGATCTGCGAGGGAAAATATTTGATCTTATTTGTTTTCTTTATTAGTTAAACTTAGCGTTGGATAATTTATGGACAATCCCTTAAATAAAATTAAAAATGTACTGCCCCTTTTCTTTTAATCTGAAGTCTAAATGTGTGAATTTTTTATTTTATCAATTTCTACAGACGATCGTTAAGAACGGAGGAATTTCGACTTGTTTGTTTGATTCTATTTGCATATGAAAAGATCTTTTCATAAAATTAAACATTACTAGACGTTAAAATAAAGACCACATGATAAAATAAATTTATAAACCAGGCGATAAATTAAGTTTTACAGACATTTCTTTGAATATTTGGTTCATGTAAAGACTTTTTTTTCAAGTTTCAGCTACAAAATATTAGCGAAGACTCAAATTCTATTAAAAATTTCATTTGCTTTTAACTCTGAATCATTTCTTTTAAAAAACAACAACAGTACCTTGATGACAAAAAAACTCAAACTAAAACTAACTTTTAAAACTGAAAGAGATAATTTTCAATATTCAAGAACTAATGATTCAATTCAATCTTTTCAACAGTTCCCTTCTAGCAAGCAATATTGGCGCAATATTGATTATAAAATTTACATACCGCAAACAATATTACGTTAATATTGTTGGCTACTCAGGTTGTTACATTTATTCACTTTAAATAAACAAATCCATGAATTAAAGAATTTTAAAATCTGGAAATCGCTAGTTAGTTTTCAAATATAAAAAACATCCGTTCATTTTAAAAACCTCAAAAGAACATGGAAGCTAAACAACAAAAATTAAACCGTTTTATTTTAATTCTAATTTTTTTATTGATTTATGTTCTTAAACTAAAGTGTTTATAAAAATGCTTTTAATACTTCAATATAATTAGAATTATATTTTTTTTTATACCTTGATCATTTAGATATTTCATCCAATAACACGGGATTAAAAAGTAACTCGGGGTAACATCGACAATTGGTTAACATTGACATGTGTTAGGGTGTTTTTACACATTGATTATGTTTAAACTATTTTAACAGATGCTACAACAATCTGTTGTATTAAAAGTTTTCAATGAACAGCTATTTTCATTCGCATAATCGTGTTGTTATTTGTACATAGGAACATAATATGATGGTCATAATTTTTTTTTTGCCTTAAAAAACATTTTTTATAATGTAAGTAAAACCAAATAATAATACTATTAACACGTGTTTTTATGATGTTATTTATAAATGTATTTATGACATTTTTTAAAAAGCAATTTACAGGAATGTCTAAGTTATTACATGAGTCGGTCAAATTTATCCATCATGTTTAATTATATTCATAATTACACATAATGATATGTATCATTATGTGTAATTATGAACGTATGCAATTGCGATTGTATGTACACATAATAATAGATAAAGTATTATTATGTGGAATTATGTATCATTATATGTAACTAATGACATTATCAATATAATCTATGTACCATGGTAATTCACTATTTCAGCTACTCCAAAAAAAAAGAAGTGGTAATTTTGAAACGCATCAAGCAAATGAAAAATAAAATTACCAATAACTCAAATGTAACAAAGCAGATCCAAAAACCAGCCCTTGTCATATAGAGAAAAAATTCATAACTCATGAGATCGAATATTACTGGCGAGAACAAAATTTAAGAACCTTAAGATGCATAAAATTATCTCGTTGTTTAAAAGTTGAAATCTAGAAAATGACAGCTCTTTTTCGGAATCAAATACTGAGACATTCATGCTTAATAGTAAATCATTAAAATTTGTTAAGTAAAAACGATACGATATAAACGAAAGCGAAACGATAAACGCCATAAAGTTACCTTATTTTTATATACATTCACGTAGACATTATCTAAAATGAAGTTATTTGATATTTTTTTTAATGAGATTTTTGCTATGCTATAAACATTTTATGTTGTTTGTAAAGTTTTAGATATCACCACTTATTATGAACCTCTAACATTTACATCATAAAAAATAACAATGTTACCCCAATTAACCTTAACATTTAGACCACAACAACAAAATATGTTATCTATTAACAATAGTTCATGACTAATCATACTTTTTATTTATAGCAATGTAAACACGTTTATACTGAAACTATTGTATACCAAATTTTGATTTGCCACAGCTGAAAATTAAAAGATTTTTTAAAGAACTTTGCGCTACCTTACAAAACGATTACTTAAAGAAAAATCCTCAACGTCTATATCAAACCCCTTAGACCAGGGTTGGACTAGTTCTTTATGGCGCCCCGGGAGATAATATTTCTAGCGGCCCTCTATAAAATCTTAAAAAAAAATCACATAATATATAAATAATGTGTTATTTAACTCTTAGGTACCTCAATTAACAATAGGTTATTTTAATTTATAAGTTTATTTATTACCATATTAAAAGTACATCATTTAAAAAAAAAATATTAACTCATCACACTTAATTATACTATCAAAGAATTTTTTTATATTAGTGGCCCATTGTAGGTAAGATATCAGCGGCTCACCGGGGCTTCCCCCGGCATCCCGGTGGACAAGTCCAACCCTGCCTTGGACCTTAATTACAATTTTGTTTTTATTGCTAAATTTAAAGTTCTTTCATGCAAAAGAAGTTTAAACTAAGCAAAAAAAAAAAAAAAACAAAAAAAAAAAACAAAGGTGCTTAAAAAGATGTCAAAAAATTTTGGCACCATATAAACGGGCAAGGACATTTATTCAACTCCAGATAAATAATAATTCTAAAAAAATAAAGTTTTTTTCTAATTTTTAATCTAAAGAATTTTTATTATTTATAAACAAACTTTATTTTTCATAAATTGTATCTTAAGAGTTCAACACCTGACTTGTAACGGAAGAGCACTTTAACTTGTATTTGAGAAGCTTTAATACAAAATGTTGTCTTTTGAGAACTACCTGTTTATACTGTACATTTTTATGTATCAACCTGAAAAATGTTTTAATTTAAAACCTTTAGCTTTTAAACGCATTCTTTGTTTAAACTTACTATAGTCTATAATTTTATCTATATTACAGTTCATTACAGTTAAACTTCGATAGTTTAGTTTACAATTTATATAATTATATTTTTAACGTAAACTATACTTAGTGGATTTGATCAAGTTTACGAGTATTATAACGTAACATTGAACTCATAAATATTTGATATTCGGGTAAGTAAAAAAGGTATTTTATAAATAAATTTGTTCAAATATTTGAAAAAACTAAAACACGATTAAAACATTTAAAAAATTCAAGAGGTGAGGATAATAATAGCGTAAAAATATTTTAGTTATATTAATTACATTTAATTAAATAGCGATTTCTGGATAAAATATTTCAATAGAAGAAAAAAAACAAAGATGAATAAAAAAGTAAATTTTTGAAAAATAAATATATTTTTTTTAATTACATGCTATATTCTCTAGGATATTTTAAAATAATGTCAACCAAAAATTTTTTACTTATATGTATTTTATATAAAACTATTTGCTTAACTTTATTTAAAAAAATTTATTTTACTATTTTTTGTGGACTCATGTTTAACAAATTGCTGTTAGACGAATCGCTTACTTTCAAAAATTTAGAAAAAACCTTGCTAACGTCGATAAATGACCTCTGCTTTGATAACGACTCTTCAAATCTTTCTTTGTTCCTTCCTAAAAGCAACTCACATACCCTCAGACGAAACTGATTGTTACTGATGACGTAAATAAAAGGATTGGTAGTAGAATTAAAAGGAGGTAAAATTTCTGTAACCAAAATAAATGTGTGCAACCCTATAGTTACTTTGCCGAAGATGTGCAAAAAATACGTTATGATATTTGGTAACCAACATATAAGATAAACTATAAACACAATTACAATTGACTGAACCATCTTATGTTGCCGTTCTTTTCGTTTAAGTTCTTTGTCTCTTTTCCCACCAATTTCGTGCTGCTCGATAGCTTTTAAATGTCTCACTGCTGTTCTATATACGTAAGAGTAGGTGTAAATCATGACTGCAATTGGAATAAAAAAACATAAAATATAACTTGATATAAAGTAGGCTTTGTTCCCTTTAGGACCATTATTGCATTTGCGCTTTGTTTCCAAATAATGTATGCTAAACACCGTAGTCCATTTATATTCGAAGCTGTGCCAATCAAAAATTCCGAGAAACGCCCAAAAAAAAGAATAAATCCAAATACATAAAATAGAAATTAATGTACTATTTCGAGTGGCATATTTTTGGTACTGAAACGTGAATTTTAAGGATAAATATCGTTCAAGACCAATCACTAGCAAATGAGTCAAAGACGCTATTGATAAAGTTCGTTCTAAAATCAAAGAAATCCAGCAAGCTAGTTCTGACATGCAAAAAAGCCTGTTGTTGTATATCCGTTTGGTATTAATTGGTATAATAATTGCACCTACAAGCATGTCTGCCACTGCAAGCGAAAAAAAAAGCAAATATGTAGTATTTTTTCGAAAGCTTGGTGTCATTGCTATGACAATACAAATTAATGCATTTCCAATAACAGTAACAATAATAAAAAAATTCAAAACATAGAATATGACAAGATTTAGTTCGGTAGTTTTGGTATTGCACGAGGTATCATTTAACATTCTTTTAGTCGCGTTTATCAATAAAAACAAGTTTATCAAAAAAATAATCTTAACTGCTTTCGAGATCAAGTTTTTTTACCTAAAAGTAAAAATTTATAAGATTAAAGTTTACTCTCAATTGTTCGAGGTTATAAGCTTGTAATATTTTTTTTAATACTATTTTGTTACAAAAATTGAATATAGTACCATTTTGAACAGTTTAGGCGGTTGCTCGCCACACTTCCCTTACAAAATACTTTAAGCGATATGTAAAATTAACATAGAGCTAAACAGCTGACTCAACAAATTTTTTTAAAAAACTTTTAATTAATTATTCATTTTAAAACAAGTTTAAAAATGACGCAAAATTTTTTTTGCATAATCTTTAATTTATTACTTATTTAAAAGCTTTTAGCTAATAGAAAAAACGTGCTATCTAGGAGGGATTATTATTTTAGTGTTTGAGAGTTCTAATCATGTAAAGTTTCCACCCTCCTCAAAATAAGAGTTGCAAAATTTATTTGGTCACAACTTAAGAACACCAAAAGATACTAGAAGAAATTAAAAAAACTGTTGATGATTTGAAATTTATTATAAGTAAATAAAAGTTCTTTGCTAACTCATTCATTCATTAGAAAGACTCTTTCATTAGGAAGAGGGACAGCAAACATTTTGGGATATTTAGTCTCTTAAGCACCAATTACCTCGATATTTTGCACGAAATTCTTATTTGGCATTATGAACATACTTATGCTTGAAGTTTACACATCGTTTTAAAGTATCGAATTTGAGTCAGTTTTTGATTAAAATTACTTTTTAAAGCTTAAAGCTTTTTTAACCATATTAATTATAATTTTTTAATTTTTTTATTATATTATTCATAGTTTTTTAATCATAAAATTATTAGATAACATTTAAATCTTAAAAACCATAAAATTTGATTGTAAAGTATACAAACTTTCTTTGGAAAGTTACATGCTTATCTATACTAATGCTAAAAAGTAGAAAACTTTTCAATGAAAATATTTTTGGTTCCAAACTGGTAACAATCGATATTGTAAAGACTTTTTAAGTTTAACAATGGAGTTCCACAAATATGAGCAGCCTTAAATAGAATTTATAAGTAATAAAAAGGAGTATTAAAAGTAAACGCGATAAATAAAAATAATTTTTACAAAGCTGGTGTTAACAGCCTTCTTTTACTATTTCAGCTTCTAGTTGTTAACGTGATGATGAAAACAACTGTACTTCATTAAAAAAATTTTATTTTAAAAATGTAAATATAGTTTTTCAAGTATTATAAAGATAATTGTAATAAACAATTAATGGTTTTTATTGCGTTAGTTGTTTAAATACATGCCCAGCAAGCACATTGAGAATACATAAATAAGTATTTATACGCATAAATACATATTTACAATTTACTTTACAGGTTTGATGGTTATTTTAGTACATGGTATATATATATATATATATATATATATATATATATATATATATATATATATATATATATATATATATATATATATATATATATATACATATACATATATATATATATATATATATATATATATATATATATATATATATATATATATATATATATATATATACATATATATATATATATATATATATATATATATATATATATATATATATATATATATATATATATATATATATATATATATATATATATATATATATATATATATAGGTGCCTGAAGCAGATCTTACGGTCTTGTTATAGTATACCATGGAAAAGCATTTAACAAGTTCACGCTCCTAAAAAAAATATAAAAATGTAATAATAGGGTCCCTAAAAACCTTCACAAAACCTCTACTAGGTTTTGCAAATAAAATTATAAAAGATAAAACGAGCTAGATGAGTTAATTTTTGTTATTTGACCTAATTGTTTTATTAATTGCCCAGATTCGCGCAGATAATAAAGTAATTAACACATTAAATTAAAATTTTAAACTAATTTTTCATGGCCTTAATTCTAATAAAAAACCCGCTTACCAAATTCTTTAATAACTAACTAAATAAAACCCGCTCACCAAATTCTTTGATAACTAACTAAATAATTAATAATTCCAATGGTATTTATAATAAACTCTGCAATAAAAATTAATTTTAGTATTTATTAAACAAATGTTGAAAGTTACTTTAGTAGTTCAAGCTACAAATACTTCAAACGCCATTATACTCTTTCCAAACGCTCTTTCAGAATTCACCACTTAAATGTATTTGCTCGTATTTTATTGTACAATTTTTTTTTATTGAGTCTAAATTCAATACGATTTTATGATGATCGTTTAAATTTGCTTGGTTGCATTTATGTCTCAAGAGTTTAATAAAACAAAAGCAGTTGTTCGACAGTTAAAAAGATTTTAAAATATAACAATTTATAGGGACAACCTCTTTTTTGTTCTTCTTATTTATTTTTTTCTTAATTATTTTAAGGGAATTTGGCGGCACACAGTAACTCAAAACCATTAAAAGTAACAAAAAAAGAAAATTTGTTTTGAAAATGTTTCATAAAAAAACCTAAAATCTCGTTTTAAACATTGTTTTGATGATGTTTTGGATTTATTTTACAGAAAGTTTTACTCTACACTTATATTATGAAAAGGTTATTGAAAGTTTAGAAAAATAGGTTTTTAAACGCTTTATTAAAGATTAAATACACGTATAACATTTATCTAATAAATTCATTATAACAACTAGCGAATTTTTCTATATTTTAGTTATATTGAAAGACATATTATTTTTTTGTTTTTCTCTTTGCACTTATTTCCGGGCAGCGCCCACTTATATAAACATTACAAATAAAGTTAACGTAAGTTTAAATATAAAATTGTTTTCAAATATATAAATTGATATATTGAAAAAAAATATTTAAAAAAAAAAAAAAAAGGAGATCATAATTATTTAATATTTTATTTTAAAAATAGTCAATTTTGAGAAATATTTTGTAGTGCGATTATATTCTATAAAATTTGGTTAATATTATTAGTACTATTATTAGTATATTATTAGTCTTAAAAAAATTAAAGAAAATGAAAGAAAAATAGGCAGAATCAAAAGTATCAAATTTTTAAAAAAGAGAAAAGGATTGGGTAACAATTGTTATTTGCTTGCAATTCTCTTTTTAATGAGAGTTACAAGTTGACAAGTTGCTCACTGTTGGTCGGCCGAGAGAAGGAAATCAGCAATATCATGGAGTTTGCAACTTCTGGTGAAAAAAAGTATTTTCTTTTAATTGCAGAGCAAGGTAATGGAAAATCTTCACTAATAGCAGCGAATGTTCTTTAACTTTCTCAGTTAAATATATATTGACAAATTTACATTTTGACTTGGAAGGTGCAAGGCGGTGAATTGAGAAAATTAAATGCTGTTAAAATAAATAAAATTTACTTACAGAATCATTTTGTGCGCAAACAAACATAAAAGGAAACAAAACTACCTTGCCAAATATCTAGCAAACTATTTTTAAAAAACATCACCAAGTTATATGCAGTCGATTGAATCGCAACCATGTATTATTAATGCTTATTATGAATCTTTATTATTTTTTAATTTTTGAAGACTTTATTGATTTTTTAAAATTAAAGTTTGAAATTTAAAAGTACTCTATTAGATGAATCCGACATGTTTTTGCCTAAAATAACCAGTGAAAAACATTTCTTCAATTATGAAAACTTTTTTTTATTGACAGCTTGCTATCGTATGCTACTCAGGTATGCAAAAATGTAATACAGAAATGAGATAAGTTAAAAAGATGGCGTCAGAGACGAGTTATAAAACCATTGTAAATTCAATTACTTGAATAAATTTTTTCTCTGATAAATTTCTATGGAAACTTGTCGATATATATATACAAAAAAAAAACTAATAAAAAAAAGCAAACAAAAAAACAAATTAAATATAACTATAATGAAAGTGTTTATAATTTATTATGAGAAGAAAAAAAATGTGTGTATAAAGTTTTCATAATTAATAATGAAAACAAAAAGATGTGTGTGTGTGTGTGTGTGTGTGTGTGTGTGTGTGTGTGCGTGTATGTGTGTGTGCTTGTGTCATACTTTGTGACTGGCATATATATATATATATATATATATATATATATATATATGTATATGTATATATATATATATATATATATATATATATATATATATATATATATATATATATATATATATATATATATATGTATATGTATATGTATATATATATATATATATATATATATATATATATATATATTTATATATATATATATATATATATATATATATATATATATATATATATATATATATATATATATATTTATAAATGTATATATATATATATATGTATATATATATATATATATATATATATATATATATATATATATATATATATATATATATATATATATATAAATAATTCAACAAACCATGTCGGCTGTCGGTGTCTTTTACTTGGATAATGGATTAATTTAGATTGTTATGAATATTTGCAAAAACTATAGATAGAGGCATTCTCTCCTCGTTAGAACATACTTTAACACATAGCAAGAACTTTTTTGAGCAAACAAACAATTTACAGGTGCATCTAATTTCATTTTGCGATATTGTTGTTTGCGATAAACAAAAACAATCAAAACAATAAATAATACCGAGATAATGACGTAATATTTAAAGAAAGAAGCACGTGAAAAATGAATATCAATAAGTAAAAAAGTATAAAAAAAACATGTGCTTATGTTAAAAGCATTATCAAGTTTTTGCAAATGAAAAAGAGATATACTAGATGTTTAAATTAAATAATTTATATAAGAAAAACGTTGTTTACGATGAATTTAATGATCCAGTTTTTAATGGCGACGACCAAAGTTCTATTTCAGGATCGTCAATAAATTACGGAACGCCTAATTTGATTAATAAACAAACAAAAAAAAGATCATTAAAATAAAAAGAAAAAAAGCTCTTTAAGTTAATTGAAAATCGCCGCTTGATAAAAAGTTGATAAACTTTGATGCTTAATGACTTACACATTTTTTCTTGAAAAAAAAAAATAAATAAAAAAGCTCTTAAAAAATTTAAGTTTTTTAACTTTAGGTTTTCAAAATTTCAAAATTAATGAATAATCAAAACAATTGTTAATCGCATTATCAAAAAGAAAAAACTAAATTACCAAAATCATTATTTCAAATTTTCTTTTATAAAAAGGCATTTATAAATACAAATTGTATATATATATATATTAAAAATTTTTATATTGGATAATTATAGCGCAAATAATCAAAAACCTCAATGGTTACAACAATTGCTTGAAACTGGTGAGAGTTTAAAGTGAGAACGTTTAATAGTAACCAAACCCTTCTAATTCAATGGTAAACGAAAGCGATAAAATCATTTATGAATCACTATGTCATCCATTAAAAAAAGCAGTGGTTTGAGTTCTTGCACAGAACCAAAAGCTCCGAGGTTTGACGAGGCATTAGCCCAATAAACGACTTTAGTAAGAAAGGAGGTGTGAAATTCCTATTTAAATGCTCTTCCCCAGTGCTCTGTGATAAGACTGATAGGACCTCTGGGGGTACTGTAATAACCATAAAAACACACACACGCACACACACACACACACACTCAATCATTTGTGAATCACTAAAGTAGCCATGACAGCAAAACTAAAACATTTTACGCTTTTAACAACATTTTATATTTAAATATTATTTTGATAAAAAAATGTGGCTATAATGAGTCATAGGATATACTTCCAAGATATTTTTCTTGATGCTGATAACTGAATTCTTTTGTCTGCGTAATTGCTTTAGAGATGTTATAATTGAATGAAAATGAACTGGATCTTACAGTTGACTGTCACAATGACTAACTACTTTCTCAAAATTTACTTGATCTATTTCCAACTTTAAGATATTGCTCTAGAAAAATTAATATCGAACAGTGATCATATTCGAGCATTTTTCCAAAAGATTAAAAAGAATGCTAATTTTTTTACCTTTTAAATTAAAAGACAATCAATTAGAAAAATATTTTATTTTCTTGGAGTAACGCAGAGGGTTAAGATAAAGTAACGCAGAGGGTTAAGATGAAGAAATGCATAGGGTTCTCTTTTCTATAATCTTTGCTTTCTTTTTGAATTGCATTAATTTATTGGTCTTACTTTTTAATTTAGATTTTTTCTCGAGAAAAGATAAATAGAAAGTGAGGAAATTTTAAGTTTTCATTAAAAAATAGCAGTTGATCAAGAAGTTCGATCCCTTTTATGGTTGCATGATAGTTGTTATAAATTATATATATATGCATATAGTTATTATTTATATAAATTATATATATACAGTTGTTATAAATTAGGCTAGGATTGAATCAATCATGTCGGGCAAGAACTTAAGCTATAAAGCCACTAGCAATGAAATAAGGAAATTTCAAAAAAGTAAATATAAAATATAGAAGAAAAAAAATATATACTTAAAAAATTAGATTTTTTCCATCAAGGACCTATTTTTATTCAGTATATTAAATATATTATACATATTAAAATTTTTATTAATTGTATGTTAAATATATTTTATTAGTTATATATTAAATGATTAATATAAATATATCAAATATTTATTATAAATGTAATATTTTTTCCAATTATTTTTTTAATAAGATTTTTTTCAATAGTTGTTAAAAAATAAATTTAATCTTCGTTTTGAGGAAATAAATCCTTTTGAATTATCTGTCTTTTTTTTATTTAAATGTTTGATTTAACAACATGAGTTTTTTTTTATTCCACTCAACTTAATCTAGATTATAAATGGAAGATTCTGAATGGCTTTTAATAAATATGTATTGATTTGGTCTTTTTTGATGAAGGCGACTGAACTTGCAAAGATCAAATCTTCTTTGCTGAGAAATGAACACAAGGAAGCCAAAAAAGAAATTGATAAAATCTTTTTATTTATTTATTATTATAACACTATATATATATATTAATATATAATAATGTATTTTTGATTTTAAGAAATATTAGAATATAATTTGAATCTTATTATTATTACTAACATGCAAAATCTTTTAGGCTATAGTGTTATAAATTATATATTAAAACCATGATATAATAAAAGTTTTTATAAATTAAACATGCATTAAAAATTTTAAATGTATTAAATATATTTTAAATATACTAAAATTATAAGTTTTAGAATAACAATTCAATCTTGTTATTAATCATTTAGGCTACTGTGCCAAGATTAACTTATAGGTTAAAGATGTCATCTGTAAGATTAACTTATAAATTAAAATCAATTATGGTCATTTTAAATTAACACATCAAGAGTTGAAAAGTATCTTTATAATTTGAAATCAGACCGTGATTGGTTTATATATTCGTATGGTTTTGCATTTGTTATAATAATTATTTGTTGCATTGGGTATAAACAAGGAAATTAAAATAAAAAATTATCTTTAGATAATTTTGAAAGAAAGCTTATAAACAATTTGAAATTGCAGTTGTTTTTTAATAAAAATAAATGAAATTTCATTAAATTTTTTTAAAATTTTAAATAGCATAATTTTTTTACATTCAAAGAATGAATTTTTTTTTTAGCTCTATGGTATATTGGCCATATATACACCATACTCCATATATATTTGCCCACCAAATAATTATCGGAAAAGTCCATAGCTACATAAATCAATTTTAAAACTTTTTATATGTTGCAATTTCGAAAAACATTCATTTTGAAAAATTATATATTAAAAAAATTATTTTTATGAGTATAACTTTTAAAATATTATTTTAACGATACTTAAAAGAAACATTGATCATATGACCATCGTCATCATATAGCGCACTAGAAAGAAAAATCTATGAACATTTTAGATGTTAAAACAAAAAAAAGTTAAACCATTACCTAAGTTAAATTTCAGACCACTCTCATAGATTTCAATTATTTGTATCTAACTCTATAACGTCACCCCAGTGGGCACGGAAGTAAAAAAAGACGTCTTTTAAACGTCTTATACACGTTTTAGACGTTTTCTGAACGTCTTTTGAACGTTTTGGACGTATTTTAAACGTTTAAAAGACGTCTTTTTTACTTCCGTGCCCATTGGGACGTTCATATGAAATAATTAATGCACTTATACCGGAAATGGTTAATTGTAAATGTTAACAAAAAATGTATATATATGTATACAACATAATTTCTTAAAACAATAAAGAAGCCCAGGTCTTCTTTGAAATTGTTATTATTGTATTCTTCGATTCCAATTAACGAAGTAAATGTGACTAAAGTAGTTTTGTGCCATATTCAAAGGACTCTTCTATAAAGTATAACTATTATGCTCTAAAGTATTACTTTCATGCTCTACAAATAACATTGATTAGTTATCGTTTTGTATTAATAGGTTTAATAAAA